CAAATTGTTTGTCATAAATCAACATCTCAGGAAAATGCTACGGGGTTTCAAATCAAAATATGAGCTTCTGATGAAACAGGAGGTTGATTTCATACATGTCCACTGTAGAGGACACCAGGACTTAAAGCGTGTTTATTACACATTTTGGGAGACACAACAAATGAATGGAGAAAAAAATTATATATCAATATTCCTATTAAATATTAGATATTATTATGAAACTCTTGCTAATTATTACTCCCATTATTGCACTTATTTGTTCATTCTATGTTGCCCCAAAAACACATTAATATGCAAATTAGATAGTTTATAGATACATTGTATATAATGGAAAAACTCGTTTATGGCCATTTTACACAAATTTTTCATAAAGAAAAATGTGTTTTAAAAATATCTTTCATAACATAGTTGAGAATCATCTTTATATAAGGTTTGGTATAAAAAATGAAAATTGATTTGTGATTTAAACAAAAATCCCACTGTTTTTGCCGTTTCATGTCTATTCATGTCTTTTTATTTTTTTTAAAAAATGGAATTTTTAAAGTCCCGATGTCCTCTAATTCACAAATTTTTTTCCTGGTAGTCAGGAGGTGTTAAGGCCACTTAATATAAGTGGGACCTAGCCAGCATTATCATAATAGCAGCATGAGAGTGACTGGTGTCCCCCACACAGAGCCATGGCTCACAATGACGTCATATAGTTGGCATAGCATTCTCAATCTGACTTGAGAGATAAACAAAAGTCAGGCTGAATGTGGCTGGGCACTACTCACTGATAACTGCAATGCAACATCAGTGGTACCATTCTGATAGCGAAAGGGTTTTACAAGTCAGCACACTCTAAAAAATGCTGGGTTAAATACAACCCAGTGCTGGGTAAAATAGGGACAGACCCAGCAATTGGGTTGTTTTGACCCAGCAGTTGGGTTACTACCCAGTAGGTTGGGTTAAACATTTAACCCAACCGCTGGGTCAAAACAACCCAATTGCTGGGTTTGTCCCTATTTTACCCAGCACTGGGTTGTATTTAACCCAGCATTTTTTTAGAGTGCAGGGTCAAAGTGATAGACAGAAAAGGAAAATATCTGAGTGAGTGATGAGGGTCTGTGTTGGAGAAAGCCATCTGCAGGGCCTACAGTAACACAACCAACCCTTCATTATGTTCTTACAAAGAAATCATATGCCCTGAAAAAACCTTTCAGTGGAAATGAAGAAAGAAAGACCAGTTGAAACAATGATACACAAGACGTTCTACCTATTATTTATATTCCAACACTGCTGTAATTAACCAATGGTTTTCACGGGTTGGACAAAAAGTGTTTTCTGGTGGTCCATATCGAATTTACTGTCAACCCATCACGAAAACGCAATTTTAATATGCAAATCCATTAAAGGGATAGTTCATCAAAAATTCCGTCATCGTTTACTCACCCTCATGTCGTTCCAAACCTGTATGTTCTGTGGAACACATAAATAGATATTCTGAAGACTGCTGGTAACCAAACAGTTTTGGTTACCATTGATTGAGAAAAGTCATACATGTTTGAAACGACGTGGAAGATTATCAAATTTAATGATGGCAAAATTTGCAGTGTGGGTAGAACTACTCTGGAATTCTAGAAGATATACTTCCTAATATAGCATAATAGAACGTCGCGATGCATCAAAAATAACGATACGTTATGGAAGCCGTGCAGTTATATAGTGCACACTTCGTAGCTGTTGTTAATAACCAGAAACCATGACTG